AAGGATAAATAACTCAATTAAAAATTGGACAGAACATCTAAACAGACATTTCTCCAAGGAAGATATACAAATGGGCAATAAGCACATGCAAAGATGTTCAGCCTCACTACTTATGAGAGAAATTCAAATCAAAACCACAATGAGATACCACCACATGTCCCCTTGGACAGTTATAATTAAAAAGAAAAATTATAACAACTGTTGGTAAGGATGTGGAGAAAATGGAACTTTCACGCATTGCTGGTGCAAAAATATAAACTGATGTAGCTGTTTTAGAAAACAGTTTAACAGTTTCTCAAAAAAGTTAAACACACAGCAATTCCACTCCTAGAGACAGACCCAAGGGAACTAACATGCATGTCCACACAAAACTTGTAGCTGAATGTGCATGACAGCCATCATAGTCATCACATATCCATCACTATGGCCATCATAGTCATCATATAGACATCATATAGTCATCAGAGCCAAAAGTGAAGACCATCCAAATGTCCACCAACTACAAAATGTAGCATATTCATGCAATGGACTATTTATTATTCAATCATAAAAAGGAATAAAGTTGTGATACATGTTACAACATGGATAACCTTGAAAACATTATGCTGAGTGAGAGAAACCAGACAGAAAGGCCACATATTGTAGGATTTCATTTACATGAAATGTCCAGAATAGGCAAATCCATAAAGAGGAAAAGTAGATTAATAGGTGCTAGATGCTAGAGATAGTAGGAATGGGGAGTGATTACTAAAGTGTAAGGTTTTTCCTTTGCAGTGATAAAAGTATTCTGAAATTAGACAGTGATAATGACTGCATGATTTTGTAAATACACTGAAACCACTGAACTATGTTAAAAGGGTAAATTTTATGGTATGTGAATTAAATGTTAATTTTAAGAAGATTTAATATGTTAGCAGATATAAAAAACACACATTTACTACATACGGTAGTTATTCCTCTTGGCTCATTCTCAAATCCTGAACAAACACTCATATCAAGTGTCACCTTTCCTACCTCCAGGTTCTCCCAATTGAAGAACATGGGTCTAGAGAGCCAGAGAGGGAATCAATGAGACAGAGGTTCATGGGCCCATTTGGTGTCACCCAAGATGGAAACATTTTCTAATCCATTTTATCAAAAGAGAGACAGAGAGATTCCAAATGGCTGGAAAACCCCTTAAAACTCTTTATCTCTTGTTGCTCTCATTCTATATTCATCAAACCACTTTCCCAAAGTTCTAACATTAAGAAGGGAGCAAGCACATCCTGTCAGTAGAGAGAAATCATCTCCACTGAAAATCATACCTACTTACCTACCTACCTACCTCTGTGCTCATTTATTTAACCTCCAGTAACTTGATGAACCTGAATCACCTGCCCTGCCTCAGACTCTGGGATACTGAATAAAAACTAAAAGCCAGATTCTGGATGAAGGTAAATTCGCCTCAATCAAGAATGACAAGTAGATTTCAATCGAGATGCTAATTTCAATATAGTAACAGTTGGGAAAGAATCCACAATGAGCAAGATCGTGAGGACATTCCTAAATAGTCTGACAGAGGAACATGCTTGATACATAGTGTCTGCCTTGAACACAGGCAGGGAAGTCATGCTACCTGTACCCACATAGCTACCACTCTGAGATAGACAATGTTCCTTCAGGGGTCTCTAGCCAGAAAACCTCCAGGTCACATCCCTCTAACCTTGAAGTGCTGTGTCTATATTTTATAAAGATAGCTTTCTGCTTTCAGTAGTACAGAACTTAACTTAAAACACGGAAATTTGAATGCTCCATTCTAAGGACCACAACCTTATCCCGTCCATTATTCCATCAATGACAAAGTAAATGGCTTATTAAAAAATGCTTAAGTTCCTGTTTCCCAGGAGAAGTCAAACACCCCATACTTTAGAAAACTTGGGAACAATTCCCCATGTTAAAATTATTTTTGTAATCAAGTGCCACCCCCTTGCTAATTTCACCTCTCAAAGCTGTGGTGACTAATGTCTCATACTTAAAATTGTTACTGTTCTCTGTCTACACAAAGGATTTGTGAGGGATGACAGGAAAGGGGAAATGAGAGTTGATGAAGGTAGAAAGGATTTAAATAGCATTCTTGAATGAGAGATGGAAGATGCCAAATGGGGCCTCATCATGAGGCTGAGTCTTCTACTAGCCAAAACATGTATTTCATGCCTTCTTTATTCTAATCACGACTAGGGCTGACTTTAGTAGAGCAGTTCTGGACTTACTTCAGGTTTCAGAATGCATTTGTTTAATAAATCAGTAGCTTAACACAACATGCTGTTTCTAGATAGGTTTATCCCAGTGAAACATAGGAGGACTCTATATGTTTGGTCAGGTGATCCAGGCCAACAACGCTTTGCAAAACACACTGGCCTCCCCCCTTTCGCAAAGGCCTCTGAATTGCAGATCGAACCAAATATCAAAGTTATTAAGAAACGGTATCCTTGCCCTCTCACCTACTATTCCCACAGCCAGGGAAAACCAAAAAGGTTTCATGTAAATTTTCCCAAATGGAAGCACTCAGACATACCCAAAACGTCAACTCTTCCATTATTTAGTATTCTATTAAAATCCATAGTCTTTTCTTGCATTTAACTTCTAGTGTTATGCTCAGGTGAAGAGAATATTTAATAGGATATGGATATTTTCCTGAACAAGAGAGACTAGGTCAAAATTAAAAGAGAAACACATATACCCAAAAATGTTAGTGGGGAATGTTCAGTCTCTTCTGAAATGTTGGGAGGGGGGAGGTAATTTATGCCATAAAAATATAGTACGGTGGTGCCTGGGTGGCTCAGTTGGTTAAGCGTCCAGGTCTTGATTTTGGCTCAGGTCTTGGTCTCAGGGTAATGAGATCAAGTCCTAAACTGGGCTCTATGCTGCGTGTGGGTTGCAGGATCAGGTCTGGTATGGGGCTCTGAGCTTAGCATGGAGTCTGCTTGGGGTTCTCTCCCTCCTCCTCTGTTCTTCCCCCAGCTCCCTCTCCCTTTCTCTAAAATAAATAAATAAAATCTTAAAAAGAAAAAAAAAGAATGCATTACTTGCATAATCAGAACAATAAATACAGCTACTTATTAAAATAAATAAATTATTACAAAAGGATAGTATTAGCCCTAAAATAAGATCAAGTGCTTTCTTTGGCTAATCAAAGTATAGGATTCAGTGGTTTTATTTTTTTTATTATTATTTTTTTTTAGATTTTATTTATTTATTTGACACAGAGAGAGATCACAAGCAGGCAGAGAGGCAGGCAGAGAGAGGAGGAAGCAGGATCCCTGCTGAGCAGAGAGCCCGACGCGGGGCTCGATCCCAGGACCCTAAGATCATGACCTGAGCCGGAGGCAGCGGCTCAACCCACTGAGCCACCCAGGCGCCCGGATTCAGTGGTTTTAAATCAGAACCAATTTGTTCATCAACTCCTGGAATCCAACCAGTCCCCTCACTCTGGCATTTTGGGGTGAGTTTACTTCCTACCTCGGAGGAAGCAGAGACAGAGTTACAGAGAAGCAGGGACGAGACAAGAGGAAACAATCGAGTCTGTCAAGTGTGTGAGCTCTCACGTTATTCTACTGCAAACCTTTCTAACAGGAGAGGACAATGATGTGGTAAAAGAGGCAAGTCACTTCTAGTTAGTCTCGATACAGGAAGTAGTTTTTAATACTACTGCCCTCAAACTGGAATTACAGCCAGTTTGAATTTCTCCTCTTCCTCCTGACCCCTTTACCTTTTGTGAAAGTGCTAATAAAAATAAAATGGTCCAGGCATGAGGGATGGGGGAGACATGAGAGGTCAACTTATGCTGATAGTTGACCTTGCAAACGTTAAACATCTTTCCATAACTATAGCCCAACAAGTAACCTGACATCCACATACATTTCCTTGTGAGGAAGTACAGCTCAGAGGAGATGAAGGTCTGACTCAAAAATAGATAACTCAACGTTGTCTACTAACAGGTCAGAGTCTCTAAACAAACGACCTCTACACCATGTAGCCATCACCTCAACGTTCCTTACAATCCCTGACAATACACAAGAAACAGTGAGAGTGCTTTCAGACCCTGGGCTACCACTTCGAAATGGACCTAAGTCAGTCTCCTCCAGAGCACATTTTGTTGGCTAGCTTGTATTTGCTTTAACTCCCTTAATATTTCCTTTACTGTGCTCTGTAACTCTGAGAGCTGATGGTTTTCTAATGTAAATGAAGGGGTGTGCCAGGCTGGCTGTAGGTGGGGCGGCCTGGCTAGGGTGGATCCCTTCCATGTGACTTTCACCCTCAGCTCTCAGAGTTGAGGGGGGTGGCAGCAATTTAGTCTGGGAAGGCTGTCTGCACAGTGAAGGCAGAACACAAGAAGGGGAGAGACAATTCCCTGTAGGGCTCAGGCTCTACTCATTAACTGTCACTTGTGTCTCACTTGATTGGTCAAAGCAGGTTGCAGAGCTGAGACACACAGCAAAGGCTGGGAAAGCTCCCTGCCTCTGAAGAGAACATGGGAAGGGTGGGGATGCAGGGAACGAAAACTGAGGCGACAATCTCAGTCTCCTGCAGCCACTGACAAATTATTTACATGGGCATATTTCCACAGAAAAATCCCAGGGCCTCATACAATATTAAGCATTACAAGAAGAAGGTGTTGACACATACTTAAAATATACAGAAAATCACATATATTAATATACCAATAACCATGCATCTACTTCTGATGATTAATTCATACTTTGATCCATTGGCTTCTCATGCTTTTTACACAGCATTTTAGAGTTTAAGCATTCTGTATACCCCTCCATAATTCTATTTCCCTCCCTCTTCAGAGGTACTTATTATCCTAAAGTTAATCTGTGTATATTTTTGTATTTTTTCTACGTACACAACCATTCAGGAAGCCAGCCACAGCCCAGAAGACAGTCACCTAGCCTTATCATTTTCTGTTAATATTTAGTCAGCATTTCCAATAAAGTTACCTTCTTCTCCAGATCAAACACTTTTACATGGTCCTACATGTGAACCAAATAGGTACCCAGGGAATATTCAACTTGGACTTGCTTCATTCTCATATTTTTTGTGTGCGTCTCACACTAAATTAATGAGAGATGCAACATTCTGAGGCTAAATAATTCAAACTTGGCTCTTTTTCAAAGAGCGTGGGGGCAATTCAAACTGTCAGAGGAAGAAACATCATAAAGAAAGCAAAAGCCAAATGTTTTCCACAGGAGTCCTTCTTTCTGCTGTCTTGATTTCAACGGGTAAGTCAAAAATAATTTTAGAAACTTGGCTAATTTGGAAAAAAAATTTAATAAAAGATTTGAAAGTCATTAATATCACAACCACAACAGAAACTTACATGGTTGACTACTGAAAATGGGCTAGGAAGAATACATGGTCGGGGGTGGGAGGTCCTCCATGATTTCCACTCTTTGATGAGGGAAACAGAAAAATAGAATGGAGGACTTAAAGAAAGGTTTATCAATCTTGGTCTAGGATTTAACTGGAACATCATTAGAAAATAAAAAGTCTGTGTGAGAATTTGATTTGGAGAATTCCTGATAATAGCAACTAGTATGGATTAAGACAAGGGAAACACTCCCTTAAGAGTCAGGAGAAGAAAATGAGTCATTTAATAAGTTGTCTAATATCTGCCTCAATTCCCAGGGATAAATATTTGTTGCCAAAGTGATGGTATTATATCTCGATCAAGATACTGACTTGAAGCTTGGCTCAAAGGTATAAGACATCTGAAACCCATCATCTAAAAAGTATATTAAAGAATATACAAAAGGCCATATTCTGTAGCTCCTCTTATACCACGTATATCAATGAATAGTAAAATATCTTTAAACAAGATCAACAATCAAATTAGCTCATTCTTGTTTTTGCTTCTATTTTGATAGTTTATTTCAAAATAAAAAGATGAGTTTGCTAACTGCATCTCTCTATGAATATTAACACCGAAAGCCTGGGAAATTTAACTCAATTGAGTATTTACTGCTTACCATACTAAAGAGAAGCTATACCTCAAACAAGTGTGGACAAAATACACTGAGAGAGCCAGCCCCTTCTCCATGTTTTACTGCTATACAATTTTTCATACAATTACTTCTACTTCCTTCTTTCCCTTTTCTTTTCTTTCCACTCTAAATTGGTCTGACATGTTCTTATTTCTAAGAATCTCCCTCTTCCATGTTTGCAAATATGAAAAGAGATTTATTTAGTGCTAAATAAACTTTGCTAGTTCAGAGTCTGTTTCCTCTTTAATTCAAACATTTTCTTGGATTTGATTATTAAGACTGGCTATAAGGGAACATTTCAAAGTTACTGTAGAATTTCTAGAATTATTTCTTTGAGCCACGCTGTTCATTTTTGCTTACCCTGAACATAATGGTCCAAAGTAATAAGCAAAGAAAATTTGAAATGCACAATCTATGTCACTCATTAGTCAATAATCTGAAACAGACTGTAATGGTGGAGATGTATTTATGTTTACCAATAAATAGTTACAAGTACACTGTATGTAATAAAAGTTATTTTATGGCCATGGAAAAAGCTAATTTTCCATCTGAATCAGGAGTTAAAAGGAAGACCTGCCCATAACCTACAGAAAGAGAAAAGCAATAGTGAAAACAGAATTTTTGAATCCAATGGGAGACATATAAGATAAAGAGAGACTGGAAAATGGAGGTCAGAAAACCTGCTTCTCATGTTCCTCTTTTTTAGCACTGGCTGGACCATGGGCTAATATCTGCGCTGGCAAGTCTTCCAATGAGATCAGGACATGTGACAGTCACGGCTGTGGCCAGTACACGGCCCAAAGGTATTCTTATTGTTCTTACCTCTTTGCTTAATGTCCTTGCCTCAAGTGCTCACAGTCATCTCCCTCTGACAGTAGGATCCAGGGGTGAAAAGCAGCTGTACTAATGCCTTTATAGCAGCTTCCAAGACCTCTGCTTCAAGGACGGACTCTGAATTGGGAACAGAGCATATAATAAAGAGGCTAACAAACATACAACAATCATCATGAATCTGATTTTTCAGGTGCTGGCCTTTTACAGAGGAGAAGAGGTTGGTAAGAGTGGGCATAAGGACAACAGTGAGGGTTGTCAGAGACAACTTAGAAATCTCACAAGCTGGGGTCATTTTGTGTTTGTGCTCCATTCACTCTGATAAACTCAGGAGTATTAAACTCACTGTATTAAAATATCATATACAGTAAATGATTTTTTAAAAATATTTATTTACTGGAGAGAGGGAGAGAGAGAATCCCAAGCAGACTCCCCAATGAGAGGACAACGCAACTCAGGGCTCCATCCCATGACCCCAAGATCACGACCTGAACTGAAACCAAGAGTTGGATGCTTCATAGCTGGAACCACCCACATGCCCCAACAGTAAATGATGTTTATAATCACTTTGGGATTACTGAGACAAAAGTAAGATGAGGGTAATGTAATTCATTTATAATAGGTCTCCATAAAAAGACAACTTTTTAAGTGGACTTGAAGGGGTCAAGATTCATGTATCTATAAAATTTACTTACATAGATTGGCTCATTTCCCCAAAATGCCATATAATAACCATAGTTCATAAATTATTAAAGGTTGTATACATACCAAATACTATCTGAAATGTTTTAATCTTTACAATATGGTTATTACTAACTTCAGTGGGGGAGGTTAAAATTGAGATAAAGAAGAGTAAGGACATCCCAACATGTTCTCCAGTTCTAGGGTTTGATATCCTGGCCTGGGAACGAGTTAACACCACGTTTCTGGACAAAAAAGTTCCAAGGGCAGTTCCTCAGTCTGTTCATTCTTATTTACATTCTAGAACTCACAGGCTTCACCAGGGTGTGGATGTCTTGTGCTCTGATGGATCCACCGTGTATGCACCTTTCACCGGAATGATTGTGGGCCAGGCGAAGCCATATAAAAACAAAAATGCCATTAATAATGGTGTTCGGATATCTGGAAGAGGTAAGAGGTATTGTATACACCTGGGACACATACTGGAAATGTTTGATGCTTATCTATTTAATGCATTTGCCATATACTGAAGTTTCATACTTAATTCAAAATGGTGACATCTATAATAGAAAGAACATAGGGTACCAAACTAAAAAGTCCCTCCCGAGATGTTTATGCGCACACTCTACCTAACCCCACAGCCAATCGAAGGACTTTCTTCTTGTGGCCCATGTGGTTTAGTCTAATAGTCTACAAACAAAATCACTTTCAAGAGTATTTACTAGAATAAACAGATATTTTCCTTTACCAAAATCCCACACTTCTAAGATGGCATTTCTGCAAAAGTAGACTAGAAATATTTTCAAGGCTTTTATGTTCTAGGTAAAGTTGGGTCATCGAGTACTCCAGGTATGGGCCTATTCTTTATCTGTTTTTTGGGGTTTTTTGTTTGTTTGTTTTAAATCCACTGAGGTCTAACATTCACACAGAAAAGTGCACAAAGCATAAGCACGCAGCTCCTAAACTTACACAAAGTGAGAACACCTGTTTAACCAGCACCCGAATCAAGGAAAAAAAAAATCAACAGGATCCCAGAGACCACCCCCTGTGCTACATATACTCATTCCTCCCACAAGGATAATCACTATACCACCATACACCAGTTTTGCCTATCTTGGGAAATGATATAAACAGAATTAAACAGTAATGCAGTCTTTTTTTTTTTTTTTAAAGAATTTATTTATTTATTTGACAGACAGAGATCACAAGTAGGCAGAGAAGCAGGCAGAGAGAGAGGAGGAAGCAGGCTCCCCGCAGAGCAGAGAGCCCAACGTGGGGGGAGATCATGACCTGAGCCGAAGGCAGAGGCTTTAACCCACTGAGCCACCCAAGCGCCCCGTAATGCAGTCTTCTTTGTGGGGTTCTTCCATTCCACTCATGTTTGCAAGATTTGCTTTGCATGCCATTTCGCTCTCAATGGTGTAGACTGTTCCATTATATGCATACATCTTCATCTATGTAATTACCCTTCTCTAAATGGACATTTCTGTAGCATCCAGTTTTAGGTGACTAAGAAGATGCTGTGAACTTTCCTGCACATGTCCTGTAACGAACATAAATGTGCAGTCCTGTTGGGAGTGGGCCTAGAGGACACTGCCCTCATCCCGGCTGTAAGAAACATTCTGTGAGGGACGTCAGGTCCTCAAGGATCTCTATGGTGGCTGTCCTCTGTATGCGTGAAATGACAAGAGAAACTGCTGCTACTGGACAGGGTGCACTTAGGAGGCAAGGCCAAGGTTGGCATGGTTACCCAGTGGACAACACAGCTGAAGTGCTAATCAGATTCGTCTGAAGCACAGAGATCTGTGGCATTGTCTGGTTAATTACGGTGACCCAGGAGCTGAACAAATGGGCAGCCTACTAAAACCTGACTTATTTGTGTAAATGGGAACTCTGATGAACAAAATTGTGACTTCAATCATCACAAGAGTGGGACACAAAACCTCTCCCTACCCCCTACCAAATGCCAGGATCGAGCCAGTTTATGATCCCAGAGCCCCTTGAAAGAAACCAGGACCGGGTCCCTTTGAAGAAGGGCTCTGTCACTCGGCCAAAAATTTATACCATAAAACTTACTTCTCGCTATCCTCAATGGGACCTGCAGCTATTTTGCAGGACGGGTGCACACTGGGGAAGAAGAAACACTTGGGCTTCTCAGAGATTACTGGATACTCGCTCAAAGAGGACACTAATCCTGGACATCCAAAAGGCCACTGTGGTCAACCAGTCAGACTAGAGGCTTCCAGGGTCAGGTGATCAATGTAGTTTCTCATCAGGGTCCATCTGACAGTGGTCCCAGTGTGTCCACACATCCGCTCTGTGGCCATTTCCCCAGTTCCAGGATGCATAATTGGCATCGACACAGTGAGGGCAGAATGCTGTAGGAATGGGCATGCTGGGTCACTTGGGCTGTGTTCATCTTCCACGTTAGCCACCACTGCGACAGTTTCCCCGAGTATTACTTCCAATTTATACGCCAACCAGGAGTGCATAAAAGTTCCAGTCGCTCCATGCACAATATTTGATGCTATTTACTTTTTTCATTCCAGCCATTCTGATGAGTATGCAGCGGTATCTCATTGACTTTAATGTGCATTTCCCTGATGGCTAATGCAGCTGAGCACCTTTTCATATTTATTGATGACATGGATAATATATTTTGCAAGGTGCCTATTCAAGTATTTTGCCCTGTATTTTCTGACTTTTCTTACTGGTATATAGGAGTTTTTGGTATATTGTACATACGAGTCCTCTGTCAGATCTGTGTGTTGTAAATATCTTCTCCCACTTCATGAGTTACATTTCACTTTCTTTTTAAAAGATTTATTTGACAGAGAGTGAGAGAGAGAGAGATGGAGAGAGGGAGGGATCACAAGTAGGAAGGCAGCAGGCAGAAGGAGAGGGAGAAGCAGGCTCCCCGCTGAGCAAGGAGCCTGATGTGGGTGGGACTCAATCCCATGACCTGACCCAAAGACAGACGCTTAACCAACTGAGCCACTGAGGATCCTCTACCTTTCACTTTCTTTATGCTATCTTTTAATACAAAATTCTTATTTTTAGTGCAATCTAATTTAGTATTTTCCTTTATTGTTAACATATTTTTTATCTAAAACCCATTTCTCACCCTAAAATCATAAAAATATTTTCATCTTTCATATTTAAATTTACAATCCATTTGGGATTTGGTTTTGTGTAAGGAATGAGGTAGGGATCAAAATCTTTTTCCTCATGTTGGTGCCTGACTTAGTACCATTAACTCGACAAGATTGTTTTCTCCCCTACTGTATTGCAATATAGTATCTATTGTCATAAATTGTGGTCTGAATATAAATAAGTCTGTTTCTGGTCTTTCTACTGTGTTTCATTGGTCAGTGTGTCAATCTTGCACAAATACCACACTGCCTTAATTACTGAAGCATTAAAATACATCTTGATATCTGATAGTATAAATCTTTCAACTTTTGTCCTTTCAGATTGCCTTGACAATTCTTGGTCACTTGCATTTCCAGATACTTTATAGAATCAGCTTATCAGTTTCCACCAAAAATTCTGCTGAGACTTTGAGTGGGTTTGCCCTGACTATATAGATCAAATCAAGAAGAATGGAGATCTTAAAAGTAATGAGTCTTCCAATGCGTAAACACGTTATAGCCTCCATTTATTTAGGTCTCCCTGCACTGTTGTATTAGTAGCTGTCATACTGTTGAGATTGTGCACGTATTCTGTTTAACGTGTACCTAAGACATACTGTATTAGATTTTCTATAGCAGTACTGTCCAACAGAAATAAAAGTAACACATATAATTCAAAATTTTCTAGTAGTTATGTTAAGAAAGTTAAACAACGAAAATTAACTTTAATAATGTTTTATTTTACTACATATCTTCAAAATATTCATTTCAAAATGCAACATAAAAATTACTAATATTTTACCTTCTTTGTACAGTCTTCAAAATAAGCATGCATCTTATACTTTAAGTACATCTAACTCAGATTAGCTACATTTCAGGTACAGACTAACCACATGTGGTTAATGGTTACCATGGTGGATAGCTACAATTTTAAGGCGTTTCTTATGTTTTCTGTCCACTTGCCCTGTTTTCACGGATATGTGTGTTAAAATCTTCTATTACTAGTGGGTTTCTATTTCTTCCAGTATCTCAGATAGTCTCTGCTTTCTATACATGGTTTCTGTGCTATCTTGTCCATGGACAATTGTAACTGCTGTATCTTCATTGTATCTTTCAGTATAAATAATTGTATATATTTGCATATTGTAGCATAAATTCTCCTCCTTTGTCTTGTTTAATTGCAGTATAACTTCAGTATAAATTGTCCTCCTTTGTCTTGTTTCTGTGATTTTTGGCTTGAGTTCTACTCTCTGATAACAGAATCATAACCCTTGCTTGCCTTATTATTTCCATCTGCTTGACAAATCTTGATATAGCCCTTAATTTTTTGCCTTTTTTCTTTTTTTATTTAAAGATTTAATTTATTTATTTGCAAGAGTAACAAAGAGACAGAGAGAGCACAAACAGGGGGAGGGGAAGGGGGAGAGGGAGAAGCAGACACCCTGCTCAGCAGGGAACCCGATATGGGGCTCTATCCCAGGATCCTGAGATCAAGACCTGAGATGAAATGAATGCTTAACCCACTGTAACTTAACACTGTATTGTGTTTTACTGGATACAACATAGAACTGGGTTTTGCTTTTCAAGCCAGTAGGAATTTTTTTTTTTTTAACAGAGGAGTTAACATTTATAGATTTACCTCATGTATGCGTCCCAACATTGTCATATTACATCATAATTATGGTATTAAATTAACCTTACTTATTTGGTGGGTCTTTGTTTTTAATTTTTTTTCTTTTAGTACTTAGTAAGATTTGCATTCTTGTGCCAATTATGTCCATTTTTCTTTTTCCTTTAAATCTAATCACTTTATTAAACTAGGTCTTGGAGTTGAAATTATTCTGGGTAAGAACAAAAAAATAGGATAAAAGTTTCAATTTTCTCAGCAGCCTAGTGCTTTCTGCTATTCCTCAGTGTCTTCATTAAATTTTCATTTTCATCTACTCTCTCTTGGACATCCAGTCTTCATCTCTGATATGATTTTGATGTCTTCTTCTGTTCCCTCACTGAGTTCAACCAAGTCTCAGTTCTTTTTTTTTTTTTTTAAGTTTTATTTATTTATTTATTTGACAGAGATCACAAGTAGGCAGAGAGGCAGACAGAGAGAGACGAGGGAGCAGGCTCCCTGCTGAGCAGAGAGCCCGATATGGGGCTCAATCCCAGGACCCTGGGATCATGACCCAAGCCAAAGGCGGAGGCTTTAACCCACTGAGCCACCCAGGCGCCCCACCAAGGCTCATTTCTTTTTGTCTTCTCTTTCATTTCTGTTCTTATTTTTTGAATTTCTGATTCGAGGTTACTGAAACCCAGATATTGACTAAATTAACTTCTGATTTCTTTTAGGTTTCTGTATTAAAATGTTCTACATTAAGCCAATTAAATATAAAGGCTCTATCAAGAAGGGAGAAAAACTAGGAACTCTACTGCCCTTGCAGAAAGTCTATCCTGGCATACAATCCCACATACATATTGAAAACTGTGACCTGAGTGATCCTACCGTGTACCTGTAAGTGGAAGACACATGACCACATCTTCTAAATAGAAAACCATCTTCTTAAAAACCTGGATGCATATCCTACTCTTCAAGAAATTTGTGTCCAAATAAAAACATGATGAATGTAAGAAAGAAAATAGCATTTTTATTTCAACTCATTGCCACTTGAATGTCAACTAATTTCTGAGAGTTCTCTGATTTTTCTGTCACCTATGGGATCTGAGGGGTTTTACTTGTTTGTTTTTTAAAGTTTCTCAGTCCTAAATACACAGGATAAATAAACATACAAATTCTGGCCTCTCCAGACCACGTTTTTGACACTTCTAAGACTAGCTACCTTTCTGCCTAAGAACAGGAAAAAACCTGAAGCTGTTCTCCTGGTACAAGAATAGAGTGTTGCACAGTGCTGGACACACATACATACTTCATAAATATTAAGTGAATAAACTGGAGTTAAACTCTGAGTAAAAGTAGGGAAGGGTTTCAGCAATAACCTCAGGTTTGTCAAACCGGTCAAAGGGTGAACTGTTTGCACGGAGAAGACAGAATTCGCTGGTTTTCACATCTGCACTTGCCCAAACTATATGAGCAAAACATTTTCTAAACATAAATATAAGAAGATACATCAGTATTCTGGATTTCAGTAAGACTGCATTACAGGAATTTATCATCCTGGAAACTTTCCATGAATTTTTGCTTAAATCCTTTTGGAATGTAGAAAACTCCAGCAGAAAGATTCCGTTCTTAGTACAGATGTGCTAGAGGAAAATGTAATTAACTGAGCTTTATTATTGGAGAATTAGCTGCATTTGTATGCTACGATATATGTATGAGAACGTTCATATCACTATTTGTCATGGCAAACCCTGGAACAACTCAAATGTTTACTATAGTTGATATGAACAAGTGAGCTATGAATTAGTTACAGAATGGAATAGTATACAGTGGTCACAGTAAATGAGCCTCGGCTAAACATAACAAAATGGATGAATCATAGCAATATAATTTTGAGTTAAAAAAAAGTCCTAAAGATTATATATAGTAGGATACTCTTTTTTTTATAAAGTCAAAACAATTAAAACCAAAATGTAATTTTTAGGAACACATATATGCGATAAGAGTAAATTTAAAGGAAATCAAGCAAATAATGGACACTTGTTACCACAGGACTAAGTAAGAGAAGCCACAAAGAAACATTTAAGTTACTGTCATGTCAATGTTGTCATTTTACAGCTAGGAGGTAAGTATTTATTATAATATGTTATAGTAGTAACAGGATTTGCTGGTGAGTGGTCAGGAAGAAGAGTTCATGATGACTCTTGATTCAGAGCCTCTACTGGGACGTTCCCATATGCAATTACATAGTATTCTCTACTGGATCATAACATCTCATGTAAGGCTAACAAATTAAGAATTTTAATTTCTGTTTTTTTTAAAAAAACTATAACCAACACTGTTCGGTTTGATCATCTACCTTATTAATCTCCTTAGTGCCAAATCACTTCAGGTTGTTTTCTGAAATTAAAGTTGCTTTTAAAAGACTAGGCTGTGTTCTCATTCAGAACACAGAATAGAAATTAGCACAGAGACTTCGAAAACAATTTTTAAAGGAGCTCTAAGACGTCTGAACAACAAATAATCAACCTTATTTAGTGATTGTTTTAAAAACCAGACCTGTTGACTGGAACGGAGAGCCTCCCCAAGGTAGGGCAAGACGGATGCCTTCTGTCTAGCATTCCATAAAGCAATCTTGTAGCTGTTAAATGGAAATGCAAACTTTAGACTAAAGGACTGCTCTTAGAAAGAACCAGCATACAGCGCCCTCTGGTGCATTTCATCAGAGGGCTGTTTTGTTTTGTTTAAAATTTCCTTTCCTTTTTAGATTTGAGTGTCAAAACGTTCAGTTTAAAGTATTGTTAAGGTTCAAATGACAGAATAGTACTGAATAACATATTTTTCCTTAGTGAAAATGACTGTAAAATATACTTTAAAAACTGTGACACATACTAGGCTTGATGGCTGTTAAGATAATAATGCAAACAAAATTAGTTTTTACTTGTAAAATGTTTTGAGTTTTCTGCAGAAAAGTAATTTAATGGAAGAACAAGATAAGTGGCCATTTTAATCTAGAATCCTCTAATCTTAAGTAAACAGTACTTTTTATAGACTTCCAAAGTAAATGGAGACATTTTCATTAGATAAAGCATTAAAAATACTATTTTCTTGTCTTGATTTTGGCTATCCTAAAAATGTTTGCTGTTGAATTTATAAATGCAGTTAGACCAACCAGGGTTATGAAAATGAGCTGATCAATTCTACTGCGTTTGCCTTTAAGAGTTCTTATAGTGCTTAGTTCACTAAGTCCGACTACTAAAAACCACCACTAAAGACCACTACTAAAGGCCACCATTTAGAGTGGCAACATCTCACTCAATGTACGAGAGGCGATAGGTACTCATTATCGTTCTGTGCTAGCAGGCAATAGGGAGAAACTCCACCTTGATCACCTTTCATCTGTCCCTCTCTGTTTTGCTCTTTAGTGAAACCAACACAGGCATCCTATCACCTACTATTCAGATAGGTATACTCCCACCCCACCTCTCCACTACACATCACCTTATCCCGTGAGACCAGAGTTCACCTCTTCAGTATTTCCACCACTGCTCTGACCTCCAAAGAGCCTGACCCTCCTCTCAGTTATGCCATTTCCTCCATGTGTGTCCTGTTAGCCTAACCAGACCTTGAGTGCCCTACAATGTGCTGCTTCTGTACTCTCGTGAAATCCTAAGGTATAAATCACATGATCTGCAATAGTAACAACTGTCTTTGAGAATCTGATATTTTTAACCAGTATTTCAGCCCCACTCACATTTACTAATGTGCTACACAGCGGTCTGAGAGTCCCAAACACAAAATTGAAGAAGGAAAGATGCCCATTTTTACAGAGCTCAAAGTGAGAAAGGATGTGGCACACTGCAGAGAATGCTTGCACAAGTAACTCTCTTAAAAAAAAAAAAAAGACAGAAAATATGCTCTTTTTTTAAAGTTACCACTTACAAATCACAAGGTATCCTAATTCTAATTTCTTTAACAGGTGAGAAGACTTAAAATTTTTTCCCAATTAAAAAACATTTAAGGGGTGTCTGGGTGGCCCAGTAGGTTAAAGCCTCTGCTTTTGGCTCAGGTCATGGTGCCAGGGTCCTGGGATAGAGCCCCACATCGGGCTCTCTGCTCAGCGAGGAACCTGCTTCCTCCTCTCTCTCTCTCTGCCTACTTGTGATCTCTGTCAAATAAATAAATAAAATCTTTTAAAAAAATTTAAAACTGGAAAATAATAAACTTTTTAAGTTTAATTGCTTTCTTAGAAAGTAAATAAAGATACTGGGGGAAGACATAAGGGAACTCTGGAAATGAAAGTATCTAAGTAAAACTTACTGAGTATCTACTATTTGCTAAATATTAAGCTAGATACTGGGGATACAACAGTGAACCAAACCTGACAGTGATCTTGCACTGATAAAGCTCATAGGGCAGTGGAATTAGCAGATATTAATCTAATCATACAAGTAAATGGCAAATTATAATAGTAGTAAGTGCTGCAAATGAAAGTCACAGAGTGCTGAGAGTCAGAGGCTTCCCTAAGGAAATGACTTCTAAAGGAAAGACCCGAGGAAGCAAACAGAGTGATGGAGGTAGAAAGAGACTATATCCTCAGGCGCCCTGACTAGAGGGTGCATTGCTGTCTTTTGGACCTGCAAGAGAATGGAGCAGAAGGGCAAGGGGAAGCTCTGAGAGCAAATGAGGGCAAAGAATCAGGGAGATGCCAGACCATGTAGGGTACTGTAGGTCATTTTAAGGATATATCTTCACCCTAAAAGCAATCTATAACTACTAAAGAGTTTTAGCTGTGCTACTAATTACATTATAAGATCACTCCTGCAAAGGATCTCTAGCACAGTTCCAGACAGAGTAGTAGGCCATCAGTACATGCAGATTCCCTCCCAAAGACACTCTGCAGAATGTACTTTTTTCACTTGAGCTTAGACAAAAGGCTGATAACTATATTTAATCAACTAATAATCACAGTATCTTTACAAATTGATCAGTGTTAATTCTGATCTAATGCCCATCTTCTCCTGAGTTAAATAAAGTAGAATTCAATGTGTTAGAAATTAGAAATTGTTTATTGAGTTATAATATGATCTTATGTAGTGCTAAAAATTAAGTACAATTAAGTCAGCTTCTGTGTCTATACTTTTATTTTACTCTTGGATTTAATCCTATATATCTTGTAAAACATACTCATACCAAGATGAAAGAGAAGCAATTAAAGCAGTATAAAGTTACAAATGTCATAGTTTAGGGATCCAAAGCTCAATATTATAAATTTATTGAGCAAGCTAAAATGTACCTTCAGCAAAGGCTAAGGAACTCAAGTACAAACAATATGCAGTTTTTAGCCTATCAACTACCTAACACACAATATAGGATCTATGTCCTATTTATGGAAATTTCTGGCGTTGTCCATTTCTCATACTTTTTTCAAATGTTTCTATTCCAATCCATTAAGACAGTTTGCAAATGATAAGATATTTTACCTAAAATAGTTCAGCAATATATGTTAAAATTTATATTTGCATAGAAAGAAGCTAATTTTAATAATTTTTAAAAAATTAAGAATCTTTGGAAGCCAATCACCAGACAGGCAGGACATCAGGGAACCACATTCTTCCCAAATGTTTGGAGACCTCAGTGTGAACTTTATCTAGGCTATACTCGTCATCAGGGATCAAAACGTCTTCCATTACAGAGAGCTGGGTTAGTCTTTTCCCACACAGTCTTACAAATTCAATGAACGCACTGCAGCTAACTTCACATTCACTGAGGCCCAAGGCTATTAAGTTTTTACAGTGTTCAGCAATACAAATAAGTTCAGTATCAAGAGTCTGAAGACCATTAGCACATACCACTAACTCAATTAGTCGTGGACAGTTAAGACCTATCCGTCCTAGAATCGCTTTACTTACTGAGCGACCAAAATAAAGGTGAGTAACAGGAGTTTCTTCTTTGAAGAATGCCTCAAATTCTTCTTCATATAAAAAGAAATACATAACAACATTCACTCCAGGGGAGTGTTTGATAAGTGCATCCCAACTTTGTTTTTTAATAGAATGAAATTCAATTTGCCCAGGATTTTCACTCACAACATCAATTCGAAGATGTTCTAGGTTAACATGAGTTTCACTTGAAAGTGCTAGGAGAAGTTCATCACTTAGAATGTAATAATTCAATGCCAGTTCTCTAAGGCCTTGACAGAGATCAGCTACACAAAGGATTCCTGTGGGAAATGGGGAAAAATTCTTAAGAACAAAGAATCACACTGATAGCAATATGATAGCTTATAAACTTAAATTTGACATCAGTTATTCATTATTTACTAAAATAGATATCAAACAGGCTGCCTGGGTGGCTTGGTCAGTCAAGCGACCCAGTCTAGATTTCATAGATTTCAGCTCATGTCATGATCTCAGGGTCCTGGGATTGAGTCCCATGTTGGGCTCTGCACTCAGCAGGGAGTCTGCTTGAGGATTCTCTCTTCCTCTCTTTCTCCCCCTCCCCACCCCACACTCACTAGCTTTCTCCCTCTGGCTCTCTCTCTCTCTGAAATAAATAAATCTTTTTAAAAAAAGATAATTCAAAATAAAATATAATAAAATAGACATCAAATGACTTCTGAGGAGATGGATGTCAAGATATGTATATAATTACATATAAAAGTAAAAAACATATGTATAATAAAATATACATATGACTAAAATATCTTTAGAAGCAATTTAAACTGGGAAACCTGTGTGGCTCAGTCAGTTAGGCGTCTGCCTTTGGCTCAGGTCATGATCCCAGAGTCCTGAGATCGAGTCCCACACTGGGCTCCTTGCTCGGTGGGGAGCCTATTTCACCCTCCGCCTGCTGCTCCCCCTGCTTGTGCCCTCTCTCCCCACCTCCCTCTGACAAATAATAAATTAAAAAATAAATAAAATCCTTAAAAATATTTATTAAAAAAAGCAATTTAAACTATGTCTACCTTACAGATTAAGACTTCTTTCGAAAAAAGATTACTTTTTTCAATTATGTTTCATAAGCTTGTAGTATTCTATGTGAAATTGCATTGTTACACATAATATAACATAAAGAGTACAGTAGAATATACATACATATAGTATATACGTATAATACATATAGTATATTATACATACATATAGTATATATTATATATACTATTCTACTATATATTATATAGTATATAAGAATACAAAAGTATATATTATATGGATTACATATGATATATATTATACTAATAGTATAACAAAAACATCATGCTTGCTTACAAAAGATATAACTTACCATCAGAGGAAACATGCGGACAGCTACTCATTTTTAGGAGTCTTAGGGTATCACTATTATTGGCCACAAGAATTTTCAATGAAGGATCATCCACTGGTGTGCCTTCAATTTTGATCGACGATAATGATTTTGAGTTGACAAAGACAACTGTAAGTGCTGACACAAAATGAGACTTGCACAGCAATAAGAAAAGAATTAGGAAAACATTATTTAAAATCTACAGATTCAATCAAATAGTTCATTGAAACTATATCAACAGATACTAACAATAACATAGTAAAAACAATCAACAAATTAGCATTTTAATGACACCATTAGTCAAAAATCCATCTCAAAGATCTCATACACATACCTTCCAATTACTTCAATCCTAAGGATTTGATTTTCAGTATTAAAAGGATATAACTGCATTTATTTCCTAGAACAGGGGTCGACAATTGTGACCTGCCAGCCAAATCCAGCCTAGTCTGTTACCGTATTGATCTTGAGTTCAGAATAGCTATTATATTTATAAATAGTTGAAAGAAGTTTTGTCCAGAATATTTTATAACATGTGAAAATTACAAGAAACATCCAGTGCCCACAATTTATGTTTGACTGGAACACAACCACACTCCTCCATCTATGTACTATGTCTGCTTTCACACTACGATGCTGTTGGGGAGGAGCTCCAGAATCACAGCCTGTGAAGCCCATAATACTTACTGTCTGAACCTTTTCCACCCCTGCCATAGAATAAAGATAACTTTCATGTTTTAGTCTCTCCTATATTTCCAGCACCTAAAATAATATCTGGCACACTGCAGGAGATCAGTAAATATTTCTCAATGAATAAACAAATGATCTTATTCTTCAGTGATACGCATTTTGCTAGAAAGTCATCTAAATAAATGTTTTAAGATTTTAAAAAACATTTTAAAATTTTTAATTTTTAACATTTTTAAGACTTTTAATTTATTCAAGAGAGAGGAGGGAGAGCATGAACAAGAGGAAGGAAGGAGCAGGGGATACGGAGAAGCAGACTCTCCACTGCGCAGGGAGCCCAATGAGGGGCTCAATTCCAGGACCCTGAGATCATGACCCAAGATGAAGGCAGATGTTTAACCAACTGAGCCACCTAGGCATCCCAATAAAGGTACATTTTTAAAACTATGTTTTAAAAATTGACAAACGGGTGCCTGGGCGGCTCAGTGGGTTAAAGCCTCTGCCTTCAGATCGGGTCATGATCTCAGGGTCCTGGGATCAAACCCCGTGTTGGGCTCTCTGCTCAGCAGGGAGCCTGCTTTCCTTCCTCTCTCTCTGGCTGCCTCTCTGCCTACTTGGGATCTCTGTCTGTCAAATGAATAAGTAAAATCTTTTAAAAAATTATAAAAATTGACAAACAAAAGCCTATTTATAGTTTGACTCCAAAATGGAAAAAATTTCACAAGGTTCAGATCCAGTATTTTTTGACACAGATAGAAAATCTGAAAACCAAATACAGGCATGATCATTTTTTCTCTTTTCAAAGTCAATGTGGATTCTGCCAAAGATACTAATACTCCTATGACAATGACCAATTGGTTATAATTCTCATTCATTTATTAGAAACCATACTGATTTATACTAATTATATATTGATTAATATAAATTTTTAAATGGTGGATGGCTAGATCTCTTTGCTAAATTTTATTGTGCTAAAAATCATGAGAGAAATACATTACTTTTTCCTTAAGAAATACAAGGCTTATTTTCCCTTTAATCAATTCTCACTGGACTCTTAGCCCTGCAGGATGTATTTCAGCATTACAGGACCTACCACATCATGGTGTCCACATAATTCCTTTAGCACTCTTTACGCCCAGCAAAATACTCTATTTTTACCCTATCCTTTCCTCAGTTCACAGGTGAAAAAACTGAAACTCAGAAAGATGCTCGACTTTGCCAGAAGCTACTCAGTCATTTGACTGTAGAGGCAGAGCCTGCAAGGACGTGTGCTCATCATGGCTGCCTAACCCCGGCGACTGCACCAGCTCCCTAGAACTGAAGCTGATGTGTGGCATCTGACATAGCTGAGAATCTAAGAATTTCAGGCTAAGCTGACTCCATCACTCATACACAAGGAAATAACTATTGAGAAGTAGTAAGTTTCCATCTGATTACTTATATTACACTAATCCCCAAATGACCCATTTTCCCTATCTCTCAAAAAGACAAACAGGCTGGTGGAAATGCTTGAGAGCCATGACCCAGTTTATGAGCGAGAAGATGCTACTATTCCCCTATCATCTTCCACAGGAAGAGGATAACCTTACTGCAGGAAGGTTTCCATCAGACAGTTTTACTGACAACCAGAATTAATGTTTATCATGTATCAGGCATTACTCTAACTCTTGGCTTGTAATGGTAAATAAACAAAACAGAGTCCCTGCCTTCAAAGAGCGTACACTTTGTTGTAGGGGATGAGAATAAACGTGTTAAAGAATGACATAAAGAAAATACTGTAACACATCAGAATGTAACTGGAAGAAGGGGTACTGCTTTAGCAAAGTGGTCAAGGAAGGCCTGCCTGAGGAGATAGGACCCAAGCTGAAGCCTGAATGAAGACAGTTATTAGTTTATGCTTCTGGCAAAGTCGTGCATCTCTCTGAGTGTCAGAGACAGCTGGTGGCTTCCTAACACCCATTCATCCTTTCTTTCTTTGCTAATCAGGTCACAATTTTGAGCTGAGCATGTTACCAGTCAGCTAAAAAATGGTTCCTTGTCACCCAGAAACCTAGTGTGGCCACACAGTTAAGTGCTCGTCAGTGAGACATCAACAAAAGCATTACACAGTACTCATGGCTGGGGTTCTTGAAAAACAGTGGGCATACCCTTCTTTCCCCCTTTCCTCCAGCCTCTGGCCGTGATGGCTGGAGCTCAGAAAGCCATCTGAAACACCTACAAGAACACGAGATGCCTCAAAGGAGCTTGGAATCCTAACAACTTCATACAGGCTCTGCTCATGCATGGATTCCTTTAATGTAAAAGAAAGAAACTCCAGCCATGTTGTTTAAGCTACTATTGTTTTGGAGTTTCTATTACACAGAATCTGACGTCATCCTAACTGGTATAGTTCATTTAGTATTATGTTGTTCTAACCTCCAATGGAGAGGCTACAGAATTACAAGAAAAACATCCACTACTGGTCATACATGCTCTATATTCAAAGAAACTAACTGGCACTTGAAAATTCCAAGTATAACATCTAAATTTTATATTAATGACAGCTACTGTAGAAACAATAATTAGAATTACAAAATATGTCGAAAGGATGAAGCCATACATAAGCTATTTCAGGAGGTAAGTGCTAATCAATAGGAAACTGCTTTAAGTAATTCTTTGAAGATAAGGAGGATGTGGCCTATTTTATGGAAAATAATTCTTTTTGCCTAGATTGAAATCTTTGAGAATTTGTGTGTCTCTCACAAAAAAGCCCGGCATCTTTACCTTTGACACATTCATAAAACTTGGCTTGGCCGTTGAAATCAAGCCCAAGGTCTGGATAGAACAATTTACCAGCTGAGAAAGTATATCGCAGGCAGCTTCCGCTGATTCAGTACTACTATCCACCTATAAAAACAATTTTAAATCTTCATTTCCCAAAGGTGAGTTATCAGAAACTTACTGGCAATTTAACTATGTAAAAGAATCCCAATGCAAAACTGTATTTATTCCATCAAACTATATAACAAATTAGTATTTCTTCTTTCCACAAAAGGTCTCAGACAAAAAGTGAGGAATAGAGCTGATGACAGCATAACTTTCTAAGTGCTCCATACTTCCCAATCCCTTACAATGACCTGAATTTTAGTAGTACCATCCAGATGAAGGAAACTGACTTTTAAGTCACAGCTCAAGTTCCTCACTTCAATCTGTGCAAACGATTACAGAAAAACAGGACATAGGTTGGAGTAAAAATTCTGCAAAATTCACCGACTGCCTCAGCATAAGGATCTAGATACATGAAAATGACACTAACAAAACCTAAGCTGTTTCTATTTAATGCTTATTTTTCTTACCTTAAAGCTAACATACTGGAGATGGGTAGCATGCTTTTTAATGATCTGCTGAATGAGATCAGGATGTGTGGACTTAAAATAGGAAGTCGCTGACTGGTTCAGTTCAAATTCAAACTTTCTCCAAAGGTCAGGAATATGAAAAACTTCATTCCATTTCTTACATACCGAAGACGCCCGGGCCCGATCTATTAAAGGAAGATACTGAAAAATGCGTAATACTACATAGTGAGGCAAACTCCCCCAGTCTAGAAGGACAGTGTGCATGTGGGTGTGATTGAGAGAAGAGAAGAAGCCAACTTTTGGTTGTTTCACTGCTGGTGAAGACCAGACGATTTTATTCACAAGAGATAAATTGTTCCTCTTCATTCTGTAAACATTAAAAGATTTTGTGATCATATTTTCCACATTTCCATCAGACACCTGTACCCCAACTGCACAAAGTAACATTAGAAAATGAAAAACAGTTCAGCAGATTTTAATAGTAATCTTCCACTATCATGCACTGATAGGTACTCCCACGGGCTACGGATACAGAGGTAAGAGGGAGCCTGCTCTCCAAGAGCTACGGTCAAATGGTGAAAGACCATGATAAATGCCTTCCCTGACATTGGGACAAGTCACACTGGAAGAATAAAGCAATGACATGTGACTGAGTTCGTGTATGGGAGGGAATGGTTGGGGAGGCTTCCAGGAGGGAATGTCCACAGAAGCGGTGTGTCTCACAGGTTTATTCCTGGTCAATTACTGTATTCTTACTATCTCCTACAGAGAAGAAAGCATCACCATGCAATTCTGCTAACAACTCCTGAGGTCCTGAAAGAGAGTAAAACATTATCAAAAGCAGAGGCCTGGAAAAGCCCCAGCTCAGCCATTTACTAACCATGTGATCTTGTCTGCATAAATTTAAGCCTCAGGTTCCTCATCTGAAAAGCATGGAAAACAGCAGTACCTAATTTCATAAGGCAGTCGGGAGGATTAAAGTCCACAAGTACCAGAACACAGTAAAGGCTTAAGAAATGTTACAGTCATTCTTGTTGTACTAAATTGTCCAGTGAATTTTTCTAAACTAATTTTGTTACTTAATTTGAAGCACAATTTCCAGGTGACACCCAGGACACAGCAGCTCTAGAGAAACTGGGCGTAGCAACACACCTGACCCTCAGTAGCAAATGTAAAACAGCAAAGGGATGAGCATTCTTCCCCAACAAAAAGGCAGGATGACTGTCCAGGGAGGAGCCAGCTTGAGACACACCTAAGTTACAACAAATTTCAAGTCCAGATATACCCAAGTATATAGGGTTACTGTGTACATATAGTCTACATAAGAATGCAAAGTGCTTTATATATATAATTATTTGAGAGGCAGAATAATGGTAGGAATGGCTCTCAACTTTATTTAACTTTGCTTGACTACTTAACTCTCTTTTCATCCTTGAATGTTAGAAATATATATATCTCTGCCTGATGTGAAATACTTCTTAGCCATAATAGAGAGCTGGATCCCAAAGCAGGGCTGACCCATAATTATAGTTGCTGAACAAAATGAAAGGACATCTTTAGGGTTTGGAAAACTAAAATAGGTGCAAAGTTGTATCTCAAGCATGAGGCAAAGAGCTACCACACAAATTAAATACGACTCAACTAGTTATACACATAACTGAGAATTGGCCCAATAATATAGAATATATCAAACTGCTGACACCAATAATTCAAAGCATATTTAAAACATGCTTATTTTGGCAAAATATGCTTATTTTGAAAAGGCTGCCCTACTCTTTAATTTTAATTTGCTAAAATGAAATACATTGGCCCCGGTAAGGTAAAAGAATGAACAATGGATCCTAAAATCTGATATGAAGCACATTAATGGGCATTTTGCTTGTATGTGTTTCATTTGGTAAACTTATAGAATGGATTGTTAAAATTTCACTAAGTGATCGCAAAAAGAGTTATCCCTAATATAACCCCTTACTGGAAAAGCAGCACAGCCGAAAGGAAAATAAGATTTCAATGAAAGGTCAGGTTAGCAAACTGCCTTAGAGTTGTAAACAAAAGGACTGTGCTATACATTAAAGTGACTCTAGGTAACCTGGACAGATTGTTTCCTTTATTCAGCAAAATATTAAATTGCCAGTTCACGGACAGAATCACCATAAACGACAGACATTCAATGAATACCAGTCATCCTATTAAAATAATATTTTAATTATCTTTTTCTTTGTGAACATTCATTTTCAGAGTCTAAGGCTCGTCTAAAAGTCAAATGTTTTATATTTAAGTCAGTATCGACGAACATCAGTTAAATATATCTTAGAATGCAAGGCAAATTCATCTTTATTAGCTTGAAAACCTTTATATAAAAAACTCCAACCTAAACATACAGGATCGTTTAAAAAAACTGACGGTTGCTTTTTCAAACTGCCAACTTTCTTACCTAAAGAAGGCTTCCAAGTTATAGTTCACTCTGAGCAAACAAACTGTTGCCATGGGGTACTCACCAACATCCATTTGATCTCACTTCCTAGCTTGGCAAAATACCACAAAAACACATTCATCAGAATGTATAAGTAAAAATCCAGTGACTTTTATGCTTAGGACATTTGCCTATCATGGCATTATGTTGAAGGATTTTGTTACGAAATTGTTGATTCCCAAACAACTGTTTTCTACTTGGGAGGAAACTGGTCCATCCAAACAACTGGCTAGGTGAGCGGCAATATGGTAACCTTTGCCAGGAATCAGGCTAGAAGATCTACTAAGAAAGCCGTGGATCAAACAAAGGGCTCTGAATATTTCTATTTTAATGAACACGTATGGAGAGATTTTACGAAGTGTCTAAGTAGTCCAAGCTTACATTTATTTGTAGGCTGTGTAAATCTTTCAGTTCCAGATTTTAAGAGCACATGCCACTACAGTTGCAATAATTAAATAAGAAGACAGAAAAATTTAATTGAATATAGTTTGACTTATCTAATAACTGTAGATTTTTTTTTACGTTTTTCACTTATGTTGACAGATGTAATTGATTCATTCATACTCAATCCATTCATTCATACTGTCTTTGAGGTCTGACCAATTTCAGGCAAAGTTAACTTGCCAGAGTTGTGAGCAGTCTATGGACATGGAAGAAAACAGTAATGGGTCTATACCAGGATAATACTCACTGCCTTGGCATCATGAATAAATGTTGTAAAGTCAAAGTAAATAAATAAAGCACTCTACTACCTTCATAAGTCAAATTCAATGGTACAGGGGAGGTGGAGGAAACAACCCATTAACACACTAAAATATTGACTGCTGTGTGCTACCTGTCAGGTCTCAATTTCTCTCTGAATCTTACTCCTAACAGAGCTCTGGTGAACAAATAGGGAGAAAGAATTTGAGCTCCAACATCCACAGTTTAATTTCTTCCTCCACTATCTGTATTTACAAGGTAATGTCAAGGTTGGTTCTCCCGCTTTATATTCCACTCCAGAAGTAGGCAGAAAAGGAGCTACTGGCGCCATTTTCAAAAGAACATCACAAATAAGAGAAGGAACAAGTCACGTGACTTGTGTTTCCTTCATCAGATGTCACGCATAAGTTTACTTACCGCAGAAACTTTTCTACTGGGTAATCGAGACAGCTCTGTGTTTGCAGGCCCTCCTGTATGCTGGAGAATACAGCAGTAATATACTAATGGTACATAAACAGTAAATCACTAGAAGCCTAAGAAGATGGCGAGCAAGCACCTGTCTCAGATCAATTCCCTGGAGTTTTCAGGACCAGATGAACTACTTCCCTGGGTACTGAAGAAACTTGATTGCTCTTTCTGAGTCACTATCAGAATTCTGAGCAACAGGAGAACTTAAAACCAGAATATGAGACCCCATCAAGTGAGGAGACAAACTTACAATTGCAATATTCTAGAGCCTGAAAAAGGTTTATTAGCATTTGGGAAAGAATGTAACAATGACTCAAAGTCCACTCAGTGACTTCGCTAACCATCCTAACCCGATTTTCCTTTTTATTATGTTTACTAATTTGGTGGAACAGGTGACCATGTGAATTGGATCTTCTGAGTATCTAAGAAGCCTCCAAAAGTTTTCTTTAGAATAACATTTTCAAAGACAGAGTAAATGAAAGACAGAACACCCAAAGCCCACCTGGTGCCTGCGGTGGAAACAACCACCTTCTGCAGCATCGCCAGATTCTTCCAGATTGGTTAAATGAAGACAAAGGAAGTACTTTGAAAAGTTCCAAGTATTCAATCATCACAGCGCTAGAAATGTTGTGTAAATATTACAGATAAGAGAATAAAGATTCAAAACGACCTAAAAGGCTAGACAAATTTGTTGGAAGCACCAAGATGAAAATGAACAGAAATAATTACCAAATGTCCTTTATTTAAGTTGCTTTCTAAACTAAAAACCTTACTGCGGTTACCAAAATCAGAAAGTGTGGCCTGGGCAGGAGAACTGAAGATCTGCTTCAAAATACAGCTTTCAAACACACAACTTTCTAATAATAGAGCCAATTATGTTAAGGGCCAACACTTTCTCCCAATAAATATCACTCAAGGACAGAGAAAAACATTTTTTTTAGAGATACTGTAAAATAAACATTTACATTCTTTGCAGCCGATGTCACCTTAGTTGCCAATTTAAATCTAAAAACTGCATTTTTTTAAGAATACAAAAGTCAAATTACAATATCATCAAGGATTCAACAAGACAAACAGAATAAGTGTTATATCAAGTAAATCTTTTCTAAAGCACTGATTTCCAGAATTTGGGCGTTCTCATATTTCACCACTGATTTAGCAATTTTCTATACTGTCTCCAAAGTCTCTCTGTGGTCTTAAGTATACTCATTTAAAAAAGTAAAAAGAAAAATTTAAATTTTAAAATAGGCGTCTTTCCTTTTAGTGACTCATAGGAAAACTGAAGTTTTCAAAATATACGTAGACTTAAAGCACCTGTAATCCTCTATTACAGAGAATCTGAAGCAGGCAATCTGTGAGAATCCCTGAACTGGGGAGGGGAAGCTGTTAGGCTGCTTTTCCCTCTCCATTCCCCACTCCCCACCCTCTCCCACTCCCAACCTCACAGGCCAGACTCTGAAAAAGAAAAGGCAGTGAGGACACCAAGCCAGGCCCTCTACAGGGAAACCCTTGGAACTGGGGAGGAGGGTCCCAATCCTAGGGTTGGTCACATTAAGGGATCTAACATTAATACAAGGGATTCAAGAAAGCATTCTGCAACATTTTTCTGAGAATATAATCAATTCATTCAACTTCACATTTTTGGAAGAATGTCTGCGCAGGTGCCAAGGCAAAACTAGTCCACCTTTGAGTGCAGACTCTCCCAAGCCACGGGAAAGGCTGGTGTCTGCCTCTCTCTGGCTATTTCTTTGTGGCAGACATAAACGCCCCGCTACCCTCCTGTTACCTAAAAACCCTTCCAGATGTTCTGCAAAAGCGACCCCGTCTATCAGTGACCACCGCTCACTATCCCCAACTACCCTTATTCAAAATATCCGCGAGGGAGCGTTCGAGGGCCGCGTTACGATGCAGACAATCCCCTCAAAGCTTACCCTCCAAAGACGGAAAAAAATGACCGAATTCAGGAAGGTGGGTCCCGCAGAGGCCCCTGTTGGAAAAACGCACACGGTGAGAAGCGAACCACGCGCAGCCATAAAACCGGCTAGACTACACCCCCACCCCGGACAAATCAAATGCCGGCTTTGCCAGGCTGCCCGGCCCGCGGTCTGGAGTGGGGCCGCGCCACCGGGCTCCCACCACCCCCATCCTAGGGCTGCGCTCGGGTCCGCAGCGGCCCCGCGAGGAGGCCAGGTCACGCCTCCTCGTGCCCGGAGCGGGCGCGGGGACCGACGGCGCCTCCCCATCCCCACATCGCCACCAGCCTGAGCCAGGCAGGACCCGGGCTCCGACCCCCGACCCCCTCAAAGTCTGCGGAGATGCACCCCTCTAAAACCACTGCGACCCCCACAAGGAACTGCTACCTTCAATCCTGTAACCGCGGGACTTCCGCGGGCGCCTGTGCGCGTCCGCCTGTATGCGTCCACGGACAGGGCTGTTCGGGAAAGACCGCCCACCCCGCCGGGGCTCCAGTGGCTGTTAGGGTGCTGGAGGCGCGGGGTCGCAGACCGAGACCCCGGCGGCAGTGGCCGTAGTCCCTTGGGCCGGCCTTGCCTCGGCCCCGCCCCGGCCCCGCCTCGCATGCGTCCGGCTCCCCCTTCCTCGGGAGGTCCACGTGCGCGGACGCACATCTGCTCCGAGGCCCCGGGGGCGCCTCCTCCGGACGTGAGTGGGAGGGCTTCTGCCTGGTGGTCTTCAGCTACACCTCTGTGCCCCCCTGCGCTGTCAAACTGAGGGCCAAAGGAGAGTGAACTTAGAGTTCCAGTTCCTAGAAATGAGCCTCCCCGGGGGAAGGTCACGATTTATTAATATGCAAATAGATGAAACTTAAAATATCAAAAGTGGTAACAGGTCAGTGTTAAATATGTATATATTACCTCTCTGTCCTGTGTCCCATCTCTTTCCCTGGGGCTAACTACCGCAACAGTTCATTGTGTAAACTACCAGACCATCAATATATACACACACAAAAAGTGTACCTTCATAGGGTAAGGATTTTATTACTTTTTCTTACACATTAGTTCTTTTAAAATCTGAAATCAAACTATACGTAATGTTCTGGAACTTCTGTTTTTGCTTGTCATGGACATAGTTCCATATCAACACAGATGGTGCCTCACAGACTTTTTTTTTTTTTCTTTAGATGGCTTTATTAAGGTATAATGAACAAACTGCACACTTAAAGCATAGAATTTGGTAAATTTTGACACCGTTTAGACAATCACTACAATCAAGATAATGAATATATGTACATCTTCCAAAGTTTCTTTACACCCTTCTGTAATCCCTCCTTCAACTCCTCCCGCACCAGTTTTCTGACACTACTATACGTTACTTGGCACTTTCTCAAATTTTATGTGAACTGAGTCACAGAGCACTCAGCATAATTGTGTCCAGATTCATCCAGGTTACTGGTTGTTATACTTTGTTTCTTTTTATTGCCAAGTAGTATTCCATCGTATGGATATGCCACAGTGTGTGTATCCATTCACCTCAAGATGGACACTAAGAGGGGCACCTGGGTGGCTCAGTGGGTTAAGCCTCTGCCTTTGGCTCAGGTCATGATCCCAGGGTCCTGGGATCGAGCCCCGCATTGGGCTCTCTGCTTGGCAGGGAGCCTGCTTCCTCCCCTCTCTGCCTGCTGCTCTGCCTACTTGTAATCTCTCTCTCTCTCTGTTAAATTAAAAAAAAAAAAAAGATGGACACTAAGGTTATTTCTAGTTTGGGGCCACTGCAAAATTAAGGTGCTGTGAGCATTACTGTACGCATCATTATGTACAATTATGCTTTCATTTCTCTTGGTTAAATACCCAGGAGTGCAATAGTTGTATTGCATATAAGGCATAGGCTTAACTTCTAAAGAAGACTGCCAATGTGTTTCCAACAAGGCTATTTTATATTGCTGCCAGCAGTTTACTGGAGATCCATTTCTTCCACATCCTCACCCACAGTTTTTAATCCAATAGGTATCTGGGAGATAACAGTGCGGTTTTAATTTACATTTCCCTAGTGAATAATGATGTTAAGCATTTTTTTTTCATGTAGTTATTTACTATCTGTATAACTTCTTTGGTGAAGTCTATTTAAATCTTTTGCCTAATTTTAATTGGTTCATTTTTCTCATTATTGCGTTTGGAAAAATATTTAGATATTTATATAAAATTCCTCTATTAGACATACAATTGTTAGAAGGTGGGGGAAGGACTAGAAAGTATTCCCCAAATCAAGAAGGCACTTTGAGACTGAAAAATGAAGCAGGCCACTCCATACAGTTTTAATACAGAGTTACTTTCAGGGTAACATACTCACAGGGAAGATTTGGTGGGTGACAGTCCAGCTGTGCAATTATTCTCCATAAAGTCTGGACCTTGGTCGACAGATTTGATAGTGCAAGGGGACTGGCAGAAGGGCAGTGTAGTGAGACAGAAGGGCTCAGGTACACCTATTTGACATCAAACATTCCATTAGATCTTGTGGCACCACCTGTACTAGGAAGGCGAGAGATTAGGTTATCTTTAACAAATTTACAGAGGGCCAAAGCAAGCCTCCCCCACATTCTGGCCTTGGCTGGGATTTCTAAGATGTGTCTATTAATCCCCAAAGGGTCCCAGAAGTCTGCAGTGGTGATGGTGGGAGGAGGGGGGGGGCTATCAGTGATCAGACTTGAAGGAACAGACGGCTAAAGGTGGAGAGATGGAGTCAGTAGGGTTGGTTCTCCTACATATGACTTATAACTACGTTTCTTCTCAGTCTTTGGATTTTCTTCCTATTCTTCCTTTGAAGACCATAAGTTTTCATTTTGATAAAGTTCAGTTTATCAATTTATTCTTTCATGCATCATGATGTCAAATCCAAGAAATCCTTTCCTAAGCCAAGTTCACAAAGATTTTCTCCCATACAGTTTATAACTTCATGTCTTACATTTAGACATATGATTCATTTGAGTTAATATTTGTGCGTGGTGCAAGGTAGGAATCAAAGTTCACTATTTTTGTATACATATATCCAATTATTCCATCTCCAGCTTTTGAAGAGACTTTTTTCTCCACGTAATTGCCCTTGCACCTTTGTGGAAAACCCATTGATCATGTATGTGTCGATCTATTTTTAAACCATTTATTCTGTGTGATAGATTTGCCTATCTTTATGCTATTATCACACTGCCTTGATTTCTATAGCTTTATATTATTATTGAAATCAGGTAGTTTTCACCCTCCAAGTCTTTCTTTTTTCAAAGTTGTTTGGCTATTCTATATTCATTCTATATGAATTCTAGAATCATCTTGTCAATATCTACAAAATGTCTTGCTGGGATATTGCTAGAGATGGCCTGCAATTTAGAAATCTGTATGAGAACTGACTTAAAAATATTGAATCTTTGGGGCACCTGGGTGGCTCAGTGGGTTAAAGCCTCTGCCTTCGGTTCAGGTCATGATCCTAGGGTCCTGGGATCGAGCCCCGCATCGGGCTCTCTGCTCAGCGGTGAGCCTGCTCCTCCCCCCTTCTCTGCCTGCCTCTCTGCCTACTTGTGATCTCTGTCTGTCAAATAAATAAAATCTTTTTAAAAAAATATTGAATCTTCAAACCCATGAACACAATATATCTCTCTATTTATTTAGATCTTTAATTTCTCTCAGCAGGGTCTATAGTTTTCATACAGGTCTTGCAGAGATCTCTCCTTGTATGGCACATTTTTTAAAAATGTAAATTGTGTTATTTTAAAAATTTTAATTTCTAATTATTTTTGCCAGAAATAGTTAATTTTTCAATATTGATCTTGTATATTGCAACCTTGCTAAAATCACTTATTAGTTCTAAGAGCTTCCATTGGAATCTAGTACACTCCATTGGATTTTCTACATAGACAATCAAGTTGTCTGTGAATGAAAAGCTTAACTTCCTCCTTTCCAATATAAGTGCTTTTTATTTCTTTTCCTTGCCTGATTGCACTGTACTTGCAGTACAGTGTTGAATACTAGTGGTGAGCACAGACATCCTTGGCTTGTTCCTGATCTTAGGGGGAAAGCATTCACTCTTTAACCAGTAAGAATGTGGTTACCTATAGGCTTTTCATAATGCTCTTCGTCAGGTTGAGGAGATTCCTTACTCCTACTTTGCTGAGAGGTTTTTTTGATTAATAAAAAATAGATTTTTGTCAAATGCTTTTCCTCATAACTACTGAGATGGTCTTATGATTTTATTTTTCATTTGTTAAAATGGAGAATTACATTGATTGCTTTTCAAAATGTTAATCAAACATTGTTTTCCTGGGATAAAACTCATTCAGTCATAATTCATTATCTTTTTACCAATTGTTAAATTCAGTTTGCTAAAATTTTGTTTCGAGTTTCAGCATCTATATTCATGGGGGGATATCGGTTTGTAACTTCCTTTTCTTGTAATATCTTTGGCAGAGTTTGATATCAAGTAATGCTGGTTCCATAGAACAAGTCTAGAAGTACTTCCTCCTCTTCAGTATTCTGGAGCAGTGTGTAATAATGGTACTACTTATTCATTAAATGCTTGGTATAATCAGCTAACGAAGCCATCTGGGACTGGAGTTTCTTTTGCAGGACAGTTTTTATCTACAAATTCAGGTATCTACTTTAGTGGATATACTCAGGTTACCTATTCTTTCTTGAATGAGCTTTGGAAATTTGTCTTTTAAGAAATTTCTCTACTTCATTTAAGTGGTTAAATTGGTTGGCATAACATTGTTCCTAATATTATCCTATTACCCTTTTGTGTCTATCGTATCTGTGAGGATGTCACCTCTCTCATTCCTGATGCTGGTACACTCTTCTTTAGTTATCAGTTTAGCGAAAGAATTATCAATTTTATTGATCTTCTCCGGGAACTGGTTTTGGTTCACTGATTTCTGGAACTGTTTTTTCTGTTTTATATTTCACTGACTTCAGTTCTTACCTTTATTTCTTCTCTTTTGTTCACTTTGGACTTAATTTAATATTCTCTTTCTAGTTTCTTAAGGTAGAAGCAAAGTACATTTTTGTAAGACATTTTCTTCTATTCTCAATGGGCTTTAGTGCTTTAAGTATTCCCCTCAATACTCCCTTAGTGGCCTATCACTTATGCCTAAATTTAGGGAGTCTACTAAACAGAGTCTGGGTTCCTTCTCTTCCTAGATGGCAGCCTATAACTCTCTCAAGGCAGTAAAATGGGGGCACTTGTAAGGTCTCAGATCACTTGTGTCTTGAAAGCTCCTATATCATATATTGTGTGCTTTTGGGTGGGTATTTACACAGAGGAACAATCTAGTCCTTGTTTCTCTATCCTGGTTGGAATGAGAGGTTGCCGCATACTTTGTAATGGCTGAATGAGAAGTTCCCTGTATGTGGTCACATCACAAGTTCTCTAAGTATTGCTGGACATTTAGTTTTTGTTATTATGAAGTATGCTGTGAAGATGATATATCTTGCATTTCTATGAATATTACTGAAGAACATTAATAGAAATGGAATTGCTGGTTAAAATATTTTAGATTTTGATAGATATGGTAATATC